GCCTGATCACAATGCATTTATCAGGTTTTTGTGTTTGGCATTTAACGTGTTGTTAGCCCTGACATAGAGTATAACAATCCTTGCCCCACAGTCCCGCACACAGTTTAAACCTGGTTAAATGTTTTATAAATGTACATTTTAAAATCACCAGTCGAACTATAAACTTGGATAATACGCAACAATGTTATTCACCACCTTATTTGCTCTTCAGTTTAGATTAGATTGATTTATATTAAATTGGATTAGATATGCTTTATCACTCCAAATAATATTTTGCATGCCCTCTTTCGGGAAATTAGAGATTTTTTGATACAAGGACCATGTGTGGAGAAAAAACTATATATAATAAACAAAATAAGTTAGAATACTCTAAACCAATGTAATACTAAAACAGAAATGTATAAACATAAAATACTAATATAAATCATAAATATTAAGTGTCTTTGAGCACTGTGAAAAGTGCTTTATAAATATAATGTATTATTCATATTATTGTTATTATTTGTATTATAACCATTACTCATGTATTCCCATCCCCACAAGTTGAAGAAGACCACTCTTTTACTGATAGTTGTCATATCTGTGAGACTAGCACAGGAAAATGGCAATTGTTGAAGTATACACTTAACGTGGAGGAGTAAACCTTCAATACTTAAAAGTCTGAAACTTCACATGTCTATTCCCTCAAAAACACAGCCCCCGCATTAGGATGCATGGCAGCACATAGTCGCTGTAAATCCTGTCAATCCGAGGTGGAGAAATAAGGAAAGTGAGGCATCAGCGGATGGAAAGAAATGAAGCCACTGTGCCTATCAGTGCCTATGAAGCGCTATAATACCGAGGTAAATATCACTCATCAGTTTGCACATGTGCTGCATGCCTGATCAGGCTTCTGTATTATTAAGGCTGTGTGCTCTGCAGCTGTGTTTTCCCTAGTCTGACTAAGACATGCAGACACAAGCCAGAGATCCATTTTCACATCAGTGTGTGCCTTCTGTGCCTTCACCATTATTATAATTACTGATACTGCTGGCCCTGTGCTACCAACAATAAAATGCCTCTGGGAAAACAAATTCTGGACTTGCAAAAATCTAATTTGTCCAGAGGATCTTATCATTTGCTGTTCATTACTATAGTGGCTTAAGCGACGGAGGGGGGGAGGAAGAAAGAATGAGAATATACTTTGTTCTTCAAATGTATATGTAAGTCAGCCTCACTCCCACTTCTTACTCTCTCGTGGCCAAACTTCAAAGTCCTCCCTTTGGCATCAAATATTAAGCAGGGTGCTGTGCTTACACCTGTTCCTCAGTGGAGTGGCTTGTTCCATTAACTTCCACTTTTATAACAACAGCTGATATACAGGGTATATGCACCATTAAGCACAGAGGCTGTCTTAGAGTCAGATACAGCTAATGGCATTTGATCTCATATTAATGGATGTTTGTAATGGACATACTTCATTCTGTCTTTCCCCCATCACTGTGGGTACGACATTTCTCGCTGAAGGACCTCACTCAGCTACAAGATGCCTCCCATCCTGCTTCTCAAGGAGGGAGATAATGTCAGTTAATAAAAAATGCTTTGTTTTCTCATTACAATAGTTGCAGTATGGAATAACTTCCAAAACCTAAAAAACAACACCGGTCTCATGAGTGACCTTACACTTATCACATCCTGTTATTTACAAAAGAAACAGCAGTTATGTGTAGGTGGGGTATCTTTCCACAGTAACATCCAAACTGTTGTCAAAATGCTTCTCAGGGATTTAATAAAGTCATATTTTACTCTATAGCAGAACAAATAACTTTTTTATCAAACAACCTTCCAGAAAAAGAGCGCAAACTGGAATTTACCTTCTTACAAAATGGGATAAATGTGAATCCCCGGTCCCCCAGTTTATTCAAACCTCCCTGGTGGTCTGCGACATGGTGTGGGGGATCGATCTGTTTGTAGTTTTTCTGAAAGCTGATTTATTTTACTGTTCACTCAAGATTTTCTTTCTGTTCAAGTCTAAAATAAAACACCTTTTTGTCTTGAAAGGCCATACCTTTGCTGAATACAATCAATGTTTCATAATGTGTCAGTGCAGCTGTCGCAGTAGGCTTTGAGTCTGTCGCTCCTAGAGAAGAAAAACAACAAGTTTTCCTATATTTCTTTTATACATTTTAGGATAAACCATCCTGTATATTGACCATTTTACCCGAAGAAAATATGTATGATTGTTTCACCATTTCAGGCTAGTTGTCAATATGAATAATCTTTTTATTATTTCAAATAAATTGATTATCTATTCTTCTACATTTATTTGTTTGATATTTTAACATGTCAACCTTTAAAACATACTTTATATAAACAGATTAGGGCTGTCAAACGATTACAATTTTTAATCAGATTATCACAGTTGAAATATTAATTAATCATGATTAATCACCATTCAATCTATGTCCAACTGCCACTGGTGGGATGTATGGGGCGGGCCATTCTGCGCATGCGTTAAGTGCGTTTTGTTAATTCAAAAAATGAATTACCGCCGTTAACGCGATAATTTTGACAGTATTAAAACAGATATTTATATATTTTATGTTGGCTTTCAATGCCCTTTGATTTTTTTTCCTCCCTGGCTTACTTGTTCACATGTAATTGAGAAAGACTAATGATTGCTTCCCCTTAACGAGAAGTCCACTGTTTTATAAGACTTTTACACAATGCTGAATGCTATATTACAGCTTTACTATCTCACACAATTTCCGTAATCTGATCAGCACAATTCTGGCCTTGTGAGAATGAACTAGATAATGTAAGCTGTAGCACATTTTAAACAGCCAATTGTATGTGTGTGTGTGTGATTGTGTTTGCACTTTGATGCATTTGTGCATTTCAGAATGGTGCAGACAATTCAATTTAAAAATGTCAGTGGGTATGTTGTAGGAATTTGTATAACACATGGATGATGAAATGCAGCAAATAATATATGTTGTCAAGATAGGAATATGCTTTCATCTCTTCACACAAGCAATATATTTTCTTCCCCAAATAACTATCAGGACGATTTCAGTTTCCTTAAATTAGCACTTGCATGGATCTCGACTTTAAACTGAGATATTTGTTGATGGAGGTGACATGAATTGACTCCTTAAAAAGCAGTTTTGTTACGAGGAAGCCGTTTGCTTTAACTGTCTATAGATGGACTCCTGAATAACCCTGGGAACACAGTGAGTGATGTGTGTTTCTGTGTTGACAGTGAGGGGCGGCAGACTGAGGGCGGAAGCAGATGTGTGTGTGTGTGAGAGAGGTTCAGAGCCGTGGCACTATCACAGGGTGCCTTTGTCTGGCTGTAGAGAGTGTTGAATTAAAGGCTGTTAACACTAGTCTGCACAGTCATATGCTAATTCCTCTTACTCTGATAGAATAAATAAATAATGTTCCAGAAAAAACAAATCTGAGCCCCTGCTTTACATGCCTCATGCAACACAGATAGAAACAGTGGGGTGTCAGAAAGAGAGTGTGTGTGGTTGTGTTGTAGAGAGGGGGGTGGCATTGTACAGAAATAGCATAGAAGGTACATCAAACAGGCAAGACAAAGAGGACTCTCTGTAAGACTTTGCACTCGATGCTGCTGTAGGTGATGCTACACGAGGGATAACGATAGATAGATTGGGTGGAGAGGCACTGAGCGAGATTTGGACAGCGAGGAAGGAAGAGAAGGAGGGAGGGGGGGGGGATTTAAAGGGCAAGAAACTGAGGGAGATTTAGATAGAGTCTACAGAGTGGGAGCAAGGGAAGAGAGCCAGCACTGAGCAGAGGAGGTGGATGGGAGAGGAGAAGAGGAGAGGCTTTGACTGGAAGCGTACACATGGAAGAGAAGAAAAACGGCTATTTCATGCGATCGCTGTGCATGAGTGAGGAGTGTGGCTGACTGTCTGGATTTTTAGTCATCTGCTTCCCCACAGCTAGAGGACACACGAAGGAATGCAGGCAGGCTGGGGAATATAGGGCTGTGTGCAGAGAATGAACAGAGGATGTGGGCTCTCTGGCTGTGATTGCTGTCCTCAGACCCCGTAGCCACTTGGTGCTGTTGCAGGCCGTCAGCCTCGCAGTTAGGCAGCAGCAGGCAGAGTGATTGATAAAGAATGAGCTCCAAGCACTCCTCCGACTGGATTCCCTACAGGTACTGTACCACATGCCGGAGAGCATAGAGAAAGGGCACTGTGTTTTGTGTGTGTGTGTGTGTGTGTGTGTGTGTGTGTGTGTGTGTGTGTGTGTGTGTGTGTGTGTGTGTGTGTGTGTGTGTGTGTGTGTGTGTGTGTGTGTGTGGGGGGGTGTGGGGGGGTGTGTGTGTGTCTGAGCGGGTGTTCTGTCATGTGAGTGTCTGACAAGCAAATTGATAACAGCAACATTGCATCGACACAATAAAAGCAAACAATCTGAATGGAAACCGGATAATAATTTTGTTGCATAATATTCTTCTTTTTTAACACTGAGATTCCTTTTTTTAAATGTATTTTTAAAAGTAATGCAAAAGTGAATCTCAGAATTTCTATCGCATAAACTATAAGATCTTATTTTGATCACAGGCAATTATATATTATCTTTGCTTGCACTAGCTTCCTTAATAAACAGTACTTTTACTGGATTCAAAAGAAGCAATAATTCATTTTTAAAATTAATTTTAATGTCATTATCAATGTAATGCATATTTTCACTTGACTGTCTTGAAGAAAAATCACTGAAGAAGTTCCTGTGTGTGTTGTGTGTGTGTTGTGTGTGTCTGTTGTGTGTGTGGTGTGTGTGTGTTGTGTGTGTGATGTGTGTGTTGTGTGTGTGTTGTGTGTGTGT